CCACTTATAAAACAGGTATGGCTGGTCTGGTCAAGTGTAACCTGTTTCTGATAATGTACTCTTAACTTAAGACAGGAAGAGGTGTGATAACTTGTTCAATGAATATAAACTCATCTGGTAGGCCCCCAATATGCATCAATACAGCCCAGCCCAGCCCTAAACTAGCCTAAGGCCCATATGAATTCTTGGTATCTTAGCAGTGTTGCATTAAGATCCACATCTCTATCTAACATATTCCTTACAAGACCAATAGTAAATGGGCCCATTTATGGCAGCAAAAATCAAGTTCACAATCTTTGAATCTGCTTTTGATTTTCTCAAGGTACAATTGTTGGCGTTTCCTCTATCAGATAGATAATATAGAGAAATCGACAGAAAAAGACATTCCAGTGCACGGTTTTTCTACCACTCTAGATTACGGAAAAAGTTCGATGTGTGTAACACTTTCCAACACGAATGATTCCCAAGTCATAATGGTATTACTGTACGTTATGCTACGTATCAATCTCATTATAAAAAACGATGGATTATTATTATTCATGCTTCTCAAACGTGGTGAGCTACAAATAAGATTTGACTTTAAAGCAACTCCGACACAAGGCCTGGACGAGTGACGGAGTGAGACGTTCACCTAGGGCTACACTTGTCTCGGGCTTTGCTAGCCTAGGCCTCACAAAATCTTGTGGCCAATAATTACAAGAAAAACAAACAAAAAGGATGCTATACCATGTGGTCAATTGTGTCATTGTGATGCTATTGAACATCATAGAATAAAATTTACCCACACTTGCTTGGACTTATATGTCTTATGGTTATATTTTTTCCCCTCTTCGGTAGTTTTCCCACAATTTTTATCCCAATACTCCCTCTCTCTCTCTCAAATATTCAAATCAACGGTGAAACTGTTTTATTATTGATGATATAATATCATCGATTTATAATAAAATCTTAAATGAATAAAATAAACTCTACTTGAGTAATTATTAATTTACATGGAAAAAAAGTTGGTAGTTATTGGCTTACATGAACACGTAGTTATTAGTTTGTGTGGAGTCCGTTTTCTTATTTATTTGCATATTATTGATGAAAAATGTCATTTGGACCTAAAAATTTGACATAATTTATTGATCTAATGACGTGATTTTATTAGAATCATTGAATAAACACCAAGTTCTAATGTTTGCTGGAGCCCACAATTAATTCAAAAGTTATAGTGAATTAGGTAAATAAATTAGGTATCAATAGCAGTGCTCATTATTAATTGATGATACTATATCATCAATTGTTGTAAGGAATATATTTTTCTCTTTTTTACGCTGATCGGACAATAGTATAATAGTTGAATTTGTTGGGATTGACAACGGGGGGGGTTCACATTGGTCAAACAAGTTTATTTTTTTAGTGCCACTTTTACATAATTGGATTTCAAAACACCCATGTCCAGTTAAACTTTCAGTATCACACAGCTTTTTAAAAGAGACTCAATTGCACATATGTTGAGGTCGAAACTAAGGTTTCATTGCGTGCTCTGGACGTTAAAGAGTAAATTTAACTCTGCCGAATTATCATAATTGTGAATACTCGAACCCAATCAATGAGCAAAAAAATTTAAATTCTCTTCCACTAAATGAACCTAGTACGTTCACATAAACATTCAAAACCAGAATAGGTTAACTCATGTTCATTTTGGTCTTAGTCTTGGCTCATTCAAAACCAACTTGCCCCCCACGCCCGACAAACCGACCAAAAACACGGAAAAATCTCCTGCGACTTGTAACTATCAACCAAATCAATTAATTATTTAATTAATTAATCAAATCACTTTTTTTTCGTATACTTAAGTTCAATTAAAGTGGTGAACACCTGTAGTTATTTTTTTTTTAATTTTTTTTTTTCTGGAAAGTTAGTGGATAATGTCACTTTCCCACCTTCTTGTTTCGCACTTCCATTACATCAAACAACTTTCATTGGAAAATTACGATAAAATAATACAAGGTAAGTTTCTTTGATATTTCTTGTAATCTTGATCTTATTGTATAATATTAGTGGTGGCAGCTTCTTTGATATTTCTTTTCTGTTGAGATAATTGTATATTAATAGTGACAGATACAGAGGCATCTTTGAAAAATTTTAATAGGGTGAATTATATTTTATACCCTTAAATATCAAATTTTTTATATTGTACCCTTAATGTATTTAAAATATTGTAATATAACCCATTTGTTAGTTTTTATTACTCTTTCTGTTAATGTTAATGGGGGTGGATTTTAACAGAATAAGTAACAAAAAAGTTATATTACAACACTTATAATAAATTAAGGACATGTTTGGTTTAGGAACAAATAAAAGATATGATTGAGTAATTAGTTTCATCCAATCCATAAAATGGTATTAACAACAATACAATTTGATGTTATCCCTATATAATAAGTTTAGATCAAAGTTGGGATAATATACAAATCTATAATTATAATATTAAATTTATGTTTAGACTAAGTAATAGTGTATGATATTAAATTAAAAATGACAAAATAAATATTAATTGAGGACAAGAATTTGCATAATTTATAACTTTTATAGGAAGGTATGACTTTAAAAGTTTACAAAAATAATAAAATCATTGCATTATTAATACTTAACTTTTTAAAAATAATACCACATAGTACATGATATTCATTACTATCTAACATCTATAACATAAAATAAAACATGTTTCAATAAGTCTATCCGATGACTTCAAATAGATTCATTCAACGGCCACCAATGTTCCTCTCAAAACTATTTAAATTGCACCGTATTTTTAGGCACGAATTACCTTTAATTAGGTATTAAATAACAATAGTGACCAAGGTCATAATTAATTAAAATTAATATAGGATCGCTATAACCTTATTCAAACTTAATAATATATTATTACCGAATTAAATTAATCAAATCCACCCCCTTCATACCTAAACCAATCATATCCTAAAAGTACAATGTGAAAAATGAGGATACAAAATAAAAAAAAATTTAAATCTTTGGGGTGCAAATTGAGATTCCTCCAATTTTAATGTTATTCTCCAAAGGCGACCGCACACGTGTCCTTCGTCGAGGGGGTCTACATCAGCACCTGCATGGATGGAATCAACGTAGACTGTGCTGTGGGTCCAAAAGTTGTGTATTATTGCCACGTGTCACAAGGACAAAAGTTTTGACTGTTACCTTGTGACTAGTGTGTATGTTTGTGGGCTGGTCCACCCACATCACCTAATCTTGGTGGGCTCCACTTCACAAAAAATATTTTGGCCGACACTCCGTTGGAAAGATATTTTTGTGAAAGAGGCCCTCCAAGGTATAATAATATGGATATGGTCCCTTATCTTTTGATCTCGTGGTTTCAAGCCCATGGTTAGAAAAACAATTCAAATATACCCCATAGAACTTAATTTCCACTTTTTGTTTTAAAAAACAAAAGTGTGTAATGAGTTGTCTAACATAGGAACCCTAAAAAAATCCCGAAGCTCTAGTTTAGAAAAAAATCCGAATTTAGTTGGGTTAACTTTTTGGTAGGAAAGGTGGCCACAAGAAAAAATGTCATATCAACGAACAAATTAGTCTATTACGATCAACAATCTCTTTCTTTTATATACAATTGATTTCTAAAACTATAGATATGTAACAAAAAAGAAATATAAAAATTTTCTTAGTGGGAATAGAATAATTGCACCAAGGAAGATAGGGCCTTTAAAAGCATTTGACTTATTGAGGAAAGATTGATGCTGCTGGGAGTTAATAGTCCAATAGTATTATTGTGATTGTAATTATTGGACTTTTTCTTTGAGACACTATCATTTAATACATTATTATGTCAGTACATTTTATCAATTTTTTAAATTCCAATAACATTATTATTGAGCAGATACTTTTTATTTTTTTATGTAGATACAACAATTAGTATGATAAATCACTGTAGGGTAGTTTCGAATATTATATAAGAGCACAATATTTTCCTTTTTCATCTGTAAACAACCAGAAGAATGTTGAGTTCCCCATCTTCCAAAATCGATTTCATGCTTTCCAACTTTAATTTACGAATGCGATAGTGTGACAACTTAGATATGCTGGCTTACTAATTGTTTCTTTCGAATGATAAAAAAAAATAATTTGATCAAAGATGCTGCGAAAGAGAGAGATAATTCATAAGTAACTTCATTTCAAGTGGCATTTTACTAAAAGTGGATTGTTCATTCTTTCTTTTTTTTTTTTTTTTGATTTAACGATCTGAAGTGTCTAAGTTAATTTGCGCACACATTAATTAATCTCTTCTCTGGTCCGAACAAAGGTAGACCATCTATATTGGAACTAGAGTATTTACGATGGATAAATTTTTCATGACTTGATTCCAAAATATTGTCAAAATTCAAATTTAGGACGTCTGAATTTTCAACTCGTGTTTATTATCATCTAAAGTATTCAGGGTTATTGCTCATTTTTCAACTCATATGTGAGGAGGCACTTTAACAATATCACAAGAAGAAGAAACAAACAACAAAGATACAAATCAGCCAAACAACTTTGAGATAGTTTAAGACATATCCTTGTACAACTGGTTAGGTTCATGACCCTTTCTCCCAACCAACCCACCCAAAGAGAAATAAACAAATGAAACAAAAAGATTATATAGTGGATAGCATTTGGTGGGAAAGGGCACAAATGAAAGAATGACATACATAAAGGGGGAGTATAAAAAATATCAAAAGATAAAGGATCAAATTAAATAAACACTAGAAAGTTTGAAAATTCAAAACTTTAATTACCTTTTAATGTCACATTCCATCTATCTACGTTAAGTACTATCACTTCATACTAATCTTCTTCAATTCTACCTTACTAGGTTCATGTGCGTCTAATATAATAGACCACACTAGAGAACTATGCTTAGACTCTTCACTACTCTTTCTCTCTCCTCTTCTTGTTTTGCCCCTAACCATTGAAACCACCCAATCTAAAACTCTGGTATGTTGAATGATCAAAGGGCTTTAACCACAACCAGTAGAGAAGATGATCAAAACTATGAAGATGAACATATCAGAGACATCCATGCCTTAACCCCACCTCAGCCTCGGTCGGTTCGCAATCGAAGAGAGTCTTGGGAAACAAGTAGCCATATATCATCAAACTTATCCATGGCAAGCATTGAAGGAACTACAAGTGAAAATTTCACGAGTATTAGTAGAGAATTTAGTGCTCTAGTACTTGCAGGGTCGACGGTAGGGAACACTAGCAATGATGGTGATGATAACAACACTAACAACTTGGGGAGTATTGGTGAAGAGGAAACAAACCCTTTGGCTATAGTGCCGGACAATAATCCATTGGACCCCGTGGCATCCCCTAGACCTACCACGGACGGGGGCTCTTTGGTGAACGGAAATCACAGTGAGGTTTCAGTGCAGAGAGTGAAGAAAGAGGAGGTCGAGTCGAAGATAAATGCTTGGCAGACAGCAAAAATCGCGAAGATCAACAATCGTTTTAAGCGTGAGGACGCCATAATCAATGGTTTGGAGGGTGAGCAAGTTCAGAAGAGCACTTCATGGATGAAGAAAGTTGAGGTACGTATAAGCAAACTTAGTCCATGCATTTTAACTTTTTCCAATTTCTTGCTAGCTATCACTACAATGGTTGATTTTGTGTTTTTTTTGGGGGAGGGAATTCGTCTTTCAAATAATTGAAAATCTCTTTATTATACTAGTATTAACTATGAATACTTTCAAACTATATACGCTTACCACAAACTATGAATACTTTCAAACTATATACGCTTAATTGCGTTAACTTTTAGATTGTCTTCTTTGATCCGTCCCGGATTGCAAATACGCTTTTATGAGATTATGGTACTCATCTTAGCTATTTATTACAAAGTTAGAACATAGAGTTAAGATTATGTTCAATATTCCCACCAAAAAAAGAGAAGACTTTGTTCCCTATTATTCTTGACTTCTACATGGTGGGAACACTAAATTTATTTACGCACGAGGAATGTTATTTAGATTTAATTTAGAGATTTAATCTGAAAACCTAATTCATTACCATCCTCATAATAACTATGAGTTTCAATGTCAGAAGATATCAATTTCTCATCCAACAGCTATAATGAATATGTTCCTAAATTAGGATAAGCCTAACTCGACTAGAATTAAAGGATAAGCCTATGGTACCTCTAAAAGACCTTGGTGTCATACTTTTAAATGAATTGTAGCTGAGAAGCATAGTATCGAAAAATAAATTTTCGGTATCGATTTAGATAATATCTTCCTCCTTCACAACTAAAAAGCAGCTTCCTTTTTTATACAACGGATAAGGAAATCATCTTTTTCTTTATTTGTTCTTTAAAAGTATGGAGCAAAGAGGCTAAAGAATCCAAAGCATCTTTCTTTCAAATCTGGAAATGAGATAGAACAAATATCAATTAAGTATCTTCCCCCATTTAATAAGTTCCAAACAAACTCAATTATTGGGGTGTTGGGCCAATTGTCTTTCATCAGAATTAGAGAAAGTTACACTTTAGAACTTGAAAGATTTAATATTTTTTACTTTACACCTTTAAAGTTTAGATTTTTTACATTGTACCTTCAATGTGTTAAAAGTGTTGTAATAGTACTTTTCTACTAGCTTCTGTTACTTATTCCATTAAAAAAAAATATACGTTGAGAGAATAAGTAATGAAAACTAACATAACAGACACATTGCAACACTTTTAATACATTAAGGGTATAAAGTGAAAAATTTAATGTTTGAAAGTGTTAAGTGAGAATTCTTAAAACTTTCAAGATATAAAATACAATTCACCTCTAAAATTATACAACACGGATGAACAATCTCCCACACATACTCTATAATTGTTGGTCATTATGTTTAGCTCCCATTACAAGAAAGAATTAAAGTTTGAATTAGAAAAAGTTGTACTAGTTTACAGAACTGTCGCCTAAAACGGAGTCTAAGAGAGATGAATGATAGCCAACTTTACCCCGTTTCTAAAGTGACTAATTTCTGTCGTATATAGCTTGTTTGCTTCATTTCCAAATTGTGATAGTCTTTCTTGGTCAATTATATTATTTTTTTTGTTCAAATTGTTTGTAAAACATTCCCCTCCCCTTGACATCAATAATACTACTCGTACTAAATATAAGGACTTAATCTGACAATCAAATACATTTGTAGTCATTAGATTAACAGTGGAATTCATTAAATAATGGGATCCATTGCAAATCCTATCGCTATACTAAATTTGCTGCTCAAATTAAGTTCCAATAACATTGCTCATTTCTCATTGTTTTGCATTAATTTCCTCTTACTATATTTTCATACCGGTCAATGTTACACAAATTAAAAAAATTGACTTAAAAAGCTGTCTTCATGATGTGTCTGTTATATTTGTTATTAATTTAACTGTAAGTCCGAGAATTTATTGTGGTTCACTATCAATTTTTTTTAATTTATGCCCACTACTTATTCAATGGTAGTGACTCCTCAAGGCAAGTTTTTAGTCAATTGTTTTAAGTTTATTTGACATTTTCCTTTCATATCTCCAAAGTGGAAAGACATGATTAGCATTAATAAAGTGTTTATATTGAAACCACTTACATTAACACAATGCTTACTCTTTGTTTCAGAGGAAGCTTGAGGAGAAAAGAGCAAGAGCTATGGAAAAGATGCAGAATGAGATAGCAAAAGCACACAGAAAGGCAGAGGAGAGAAGAGCCTCAGCTGAGTCCAAGAGGGGAACCAAAGTGGCCAGGATTCTTGAAGTTGCCAACTTGATGAGAGCCATTGGAAGAGCTCCTGCCAAGCGCTCCTTCTTCTAAAGCCCTACCACACTCCATTTATTTGAAAAGACTTTGACATGGAATAAGCACTTTATTTTATAGGGGTCCCTTCACTTTTGAAATATAGGGTACCCTATGTGTGAAATATGACATTTAAAAGTTGCCCCTAGAACGCTATAGAAGTATGAAGTGTCTGTTAGTGAGTGCTTGTATTGGTTTGGCTTATCTAGTTGATATGCTATAAGCACTTTATTTTGTAAGGGGTCCCTTCACTTTTGAACTATAGGGCATCCTATGTGTGAAATGGGGCATATTAAGAGTTGCCCTAGAAAACTATAGTAGGTAAGTGCTTGTAATGGTTCAGCTTGTCTTTACTAAAGACAAGAGTCACGTGAATTGGTTGTCTCTCTAGAAATATTGTGGTCAGCGAGATAGCGTAGTGTTGAATCCCTTTCTCTAAGGGTGTCAGACATTTCAGAAGGCTCGCAAGTCACTTGTGTTGAAGGGCTTTCTTGTACAGCTTTGGATATTACATATACTTCATAAACCCATATCATTTAGTTTGGTGTATCTGCAACTCATGGAATGGCCATTTGCAATATCTATGCCCAACAAACTGTTATTAAATCTTTATCTTTAGCTGAGAGCCATCACAACTATGCGTTTTTTGGATTCACGATTAGTATATAAACTTGAAATGAACACAATCATCAACAAACCTTGCACAATGGGTCTACGGGGAAATATGATTGGGCCGGTTCTCAATTATCACTGCAAGTAACATTTAATCACAGGTGTACTAATCTGATACCATCCCACATGTCTTGGTCGAGTTGTCTGAGACGTCTTTGAATCCACCCGAATTCTATGACATATTGCCACCAGATTGGCTGAACCATTATTCCCTGACGCCGTGATATGTGATTAGTCACTTTGTCATATTCAACTTCTTTCTCTATGTTGCATTTTGTCTGTATTATGCGATATTATTCCGTGGCATCATGACCGATATGTCTTACTTCTTTAAGTGAATAGTTGATACCACGACCTTAAAATGATGGTTTCAAGTTCCAATACATTTGAGACTTGACGTGCACTCGGTTTGGTTTTATTTTTTCTTCCTAATTCCAACTCTTTATCTGTCATCATGCTTAATGAAGATTTTCCTGGAAATCTTCTATTAGTCAGACCTTCAAAGAAGTCCAATCTTTCCTCTTTTCTGGTCTTCATCTACAGGAAACTAGAACAAGTGCTACATTAAACTATTAAACTCCATCATGGGCACAGTCTCAGCAATCATGCATCCAGCTGTTTCTGCTTTTCAGACAGTGCTCGGTCATGACTCTTAACAAAAAGGACTTACAGTTTCCCATTAGAAAGTATTATGATGCAGCAAAAATACCCCACCACAATGAAAACTATAATTTTTATAAAACACATATACCTAGCCCTTGAGAATTCAAGACCTACTTTACTAGGTAGTTCCATATTTCAATGACAAAACACAATAAGTACTGATAAATTTGGGTTATGAAAGGTTCTTGGAAAGTGTTGGTAGCATGAGAAAATATCTTTAAAAATGTCGTACTCAATTTATGAGGTTGCCGTCTAAAACGGGATTTGAAAGAAATGAGTTAGAATAAAGATATCATTACTTTGAAAAGACTAATTCCTAAACTCGAATTCAAGATGTATTGCTTTTATAGATCAAAACTTTTAAATAGGACTATAAAGTTAAAAAGAAGGGGGGAAAACAAAAGGGAAGGCAGAGAGATATTAATGGAGGGGTTTTGAAGGTAGGCCTTTACCCCTTTGTCTCCTTTTGAGTTAACTTAAAAATTGTTTTATGGACTAAATATCTAATGCATCATGTACGAATGGCGAGAGAACATTACAATACAATAATTTATTCTTTGTGAATACCTTAGTTCCGGTGTAGATGATTTGTTTTGACCGAATCAAAAAACCTGAATACCTTTACCTATTTTAAAAAAAAAAGACCACCACGAGCAATCACAACCACCACATCATGGAAGCCAAATAATTGGTTGGTAATGTTTAAAACGCGTTAACCAATGACGTTAAATAATCCATCAGGAGCAACTTACATGTTTCTCGGCTTTTTCTTTCAGAAAATTTGATGACAAATGATTTATTATGTAGGCCACACCAACCCCTCTCAAACCCATGTCTATAGAAAAATAAGCATAGCTTTCACCATAATCAAGTGGCGTGATTCTTTTGTACGTTAAAATTTTCTTTTTCGTTGATATTATTTCCAAAGAATTCCCCATGCCGTGACAAAACTGATAATCAAAGTCGTGTCACGTAATTTCGAGTTTGTTTTATTATGATATTTGAGTTGACATGTTTTGTTCATTAGCTTAAAATTTCAAAGACTTAGAGCTCTTCTCTTTCAACCAATTGCACAATGCATACGTCCCCTATAAATTAAGAATTAATGTTAATATTGAATTATTCCGGTTTGATATTATACTAATTTAAGGGTTTTTCACGATGAATTGGTCGAATGTTTTGAATTTTGGCACAAAAATTGAAACAATTGCAATTCAGGTTCTCATTAATATTAAAAGAGTAAAAGTTATACAGATTTAAAAAATTGACTTAATAATATAAATGCTATATTTATTATTAATTTAATTATGGGTCCCAATATAGATTGAGATTCACTTCCTATTTAATAGCAGTGATTCATCGAATCAAATTTTTAAGTTAAATTTTTAAATCTATTTAACATTTTTTATACTAAAAAGTATGATCGGCCAAACCGATCTCAATCTTTTCAACCTTTGTCTATCCAGTCATTTATCTATCTATTTCCAACATTTTCTCTCGCCTTTTTTTCTCATTTGGCTCTCTGGGCTTGATGTAATACTGTGAGATTGGGCTACATATTGAGCAACCTATTGGCCCGTTGCATAGTTGATTGGGCCACATATTGAACGAGGTCTTAGCCTTGGCTTGAAGACACCGTAAATATGCTTAGATTTGGGCCTAGATCTGACCCAATCTAAACTATTGCCTTAATTATGTTTGGGTTCTTTGAAGGCCGGTACACCTAATTAGACTTATTTGCTAAAAAATACATAAACCAAAATATAAGTTAAAAAGACATAAATGCCCATTTTAGGGTCATTTAATTCAAAATCTCTTATTTTTAATGCACTTTGATTCATGTGTATTTATTAATACATATAAATACGTATTTAATGTACTTTTGATTCATGTAAATATAATTTGAAAATAAAATCACTTTTCAAAAAAAAAATCGCATTAATCAAGGTGCATTAAAAATAATTCAAAATTTAAATATGAGATTTAACAATAAATTTATTGTTAAATTATATTTTATTTTCAAATTAAATATAATTTTATTTAATTATATTTAATTAAAATTTAATTATATTTTAATTTTCTCAATAAATTTATTGAGAAAAGTGATTTTATTTTCAAATTATATTTAATGCACTATGATTCAAACGTTTTTTTTTTGGAAAATAGTTTTATTTTTAAATTAATTTAATATCTGAATAATATAATAGTATAACAAAAACAATGTTCAGTAATTTTTTGTATATGGTAACAAATTTANAAATTGAAACAATTGCAATTCAGGTTCTCATTAATATTAAAAGAGTAAAAGTTATAAAGATTTAAAAAATTGACTCAATAATATAAATGTTATATTTATTATTAATTTAATTGTGGGTCCCAATATAGATTGAGACTCACTTTTTATTTAATAGCAATGATTCATCGAATCAAATTTTTAAGTTAAGTTTTTAAATCTATTTAACATTTTTTATACTAAAAAGTATGATCGGCCAAACCGATCTCAATCTTTTCAACCTTTGTCTATCCAGTTATTTATCTATCTATTTCCAACATTTTCTCTCGCCTTTTTTTCTCATTTGGCTCTCTAGGCTTGACGTAATACTGTGAGATTGGACTACATATTGAGCAACCTATTGGCCCGTTGCATAGTTGATTGGGCCACATATTGAACGAATCGGGTCTTAGCCTTGGCTTGAAGACACTGTAAATATGCTTAGATTTGGGCCTAGATCTGACCCAATCTAAACTATTGCCTTAATTATGTTTGGGTTCTTTGGAGGCCGGTACACCTAATTAGACTTATTTGCTAAAAAATACATAAAACAAAATATAAGTTAAAAAGACATAAATGCCCATTTTAGGATCATTTAATTCAAAATCTCTTATTTTTAATGCACTTTGATTCATGTGTGTTTATTAATACATATAAATACATATTTAATGTACTTTTGATTCATGCGTATTTGTTAATACATATATATATATATATATATATATATATAT